ATTGTTGGTATCTTACTCATCAAACACAAGTGTCTCATGTCACGTCAACAGTGTCATCGAAAGTGTGCATTTGCAGTGGCAGGGCTACATAGGGTCATATGGGGTCCATTTGCCCACCCACAAAATTTTTGAATTTTAGTTTTTTTTCTTACTTTTCTCTAAAAATTGGACCCAATGGACTTTTGAAATTTTTGAATTTTAATTTTTTTAAAGTTTTATCCATTCTCTTTTGAGCACCATGGATTACTTGTCCTGAGAAGGCCCAAATTTGAAATTATAAATTAATTCTTCATTCTGATTCTTTCTTAGTATCTAAGATTTGTCTATTTTCCCTACTGCTTAGCTCACTAGCGCCTGCGGGTAACAACAAATATTTAATCATTAGATAACATTTGTTATCATCTCATGTCTCGACATACTATTAGTATAACGCTATTTGGAAAAATAAAAATAAAAATTGCCACTTACTTTTTTTGATCCCACAATAAAAAATATTTAACTCCGTCATTACGCATTTGTCTAGGGAAAACAAATATGAATTGTACGTGGGGTGGCAAAAGTTTCGTATTATTGTCACACATATTTTAATATTATGCACGTACTTCGAAAAATATGAATGCAACTTGCACGTTTCAATAATTACAATCAAGTTATATCGAATCATATATAAAGTTTAATGTAGCTAACACATCATCAAATGTTTTTGTCAAAGTTGAAATCTCGATGGTCCCCATCAACATCTTCTATTTTCAAAAATAAAATAGAAAAATCTGTAACACAGTTAAAGTTAGTGAGCTTAGTTCAGTAATTAGTTTAATGGCAAAATTTCAACATAATTTTATGGAACAACTAGAATAGTAACTAACATGATAATTTGAGTTGACGTTTTAAAAATGGACTCAACTATTGACCTGGAAAACGTAAAGGGTCTATGAACAATAAGTCAAACCGATGATAAACTAGAATAGATATACCAAAAATTCTTCTTCGAAAGTAAGGTTCCGATTCCTCCAATGTTTAGGAATCGTTTAAATACTATACACGTGCAATAATGAATGCGATCCACACGTAACAAAAGTTACAATCAAGTGATATTTGGTTGGAGGGTGACCCCTCCTTTGACAAATCTTTAGCTACCAACAATAACTTAGGTGAGAGAGTTCATTCATACTTGATAAAGGCAAAGTTGGCCCATTTTAGCTGCGCTTCTAAAAGCACGCACCCACCTTTCTTATTATGACTAAGCAAAGAGCATCATTTGATCCAGAGCATGACAGATTTTCATTTGTGTGGTGCACAAAAAGAGAGAGAAGGGAATCCAAGGTTTTATAACAAGAAGACGAGATAATATTAGATATTACTATGGAAAAATGAAATTTTAATTTTTATCCATTTTACTATTTTATTGTCCAATCAATCTTTTTTGCATTCGGGTTTTCAAACTTCAGAGTGTTGTACCGTTTGGTTCGATCCCAAAAAAAATCGTAAATTGATTATCTATCTTGCATGTGACGTGAATAGATAACTCAAACGAGAAAAAGCAAGGTTGAAAACTCAAATTGAAAGAGAAGTTAAAACTTGAGGACTCAAATGTTACATAAATTGAAGGTCGAGGCTCAAATAAAACCAAAGATAAAAATCTTGAAGAGGACCAAATTTTCTCCAGCACCAACAAATTGGAAGGTTATTCACCTTTCATTTGATGATTTTGTATTTATTGAAAACTAAACCCTACTTGATGGCTTTTAATTCAAAATTCTTTTTTCTAGTATTCATTTTTACTGCACATTCACATAATAAAATATTTTGCATATAAACTTCGAGCGTTTACTATTTTTTAATCATTCATTTTTCAAAAATTTACTATTCAAAATATTAATTTTTCCAAATAATTACCATCAAACGAGGGCTAAATAGAGTCGAGTAAGGATGCCAACGAGTCGAGCCGACTCGCGAATCAAAAATCAAGGCTTGAGCAAAATGAAACGGGCTTTTTTCGAGCCTGAGCCAAGCTGAGCAAAAGCTCGGCCAAAATAACAAGGCTAGGCCGCCAGCTACCTTTGATCACCTTTTTTTTTAAGGCTCGATCCCTCTCAGGCTCGGCCCGTAATCTCAAAATGAGGCTCAACTCGAGCCTGGAGTTGGGTCAGCTAGGACTTTTTCCCGATCGAGTTATGGGCGGCCTGAGACGACGAGCCCGATTGACATTTCTAGAGTCGAGTGCTCTCTTGACTATAAAATAAAAATTTCTTGAATTTTCCTTTGTGGTTGAAGAATAAAGCTATAGCAGCAAAAGTGAGATAATACAAGATAATACAAGTCCCTGTTTGCTTGGCTAAAACAATGTTTTGAATAGTGATTTTTTTAAAAAAATGTGGTTAAAAAATAAAGTTTACGTACAGAATATTAAGAAAAAAAGAATTTTCAAATAATAATTGTCAATCGAGGGATAAATACTTGACAACATCTAAGAATTTCTAAGCTTGTCCTGAACAAACTAACAATAAAATATTTCCAAACCAACTCAACAAAGACCAAACTAACAATAAAATGTTTCCAAGCCAACTCAACAAATATTGTACATATTTTGGTAAAAGAAGCTATTTATTTCTTATTTCTACATTACTGTAAAATAAGTATATCTTATGTTATTTTTTGAAAATGATGAATTGCATTAATTAATGTCGCCTTCAATACCGTGTTTCATTAATTAATAATTTAATATCGTCTTTAATACCGTACAATATGAAAATGAGTATACAATCGTATCAGAGGGTTGGCTCCTCTAAGAAACTAGCATGTTGACTTGCATTAAAGCATATCCAAGAAATTCATTAAATACAAAATATTTTTTCTATTTTAGAGAATCAATACTTAAAAATAAATTTCAAAAGACTCTCTATTTTAATTTTTTGAAATAGAGAGTGTATTTGGCTCTCCAAATATAGAGAGTCAAACTCACTCTTTATTTTTAATATATAATGATTACATTTAATACATTACAAATTTTAATACTCTATAATTTAAAATTTTCAAATTGTATTTGAATCGACTGGTCATTAATATATAAAAAATTATACTTAAATAAAATATTTGGAGAAATTATTAAATGTTTATTGAAAAAAAAAACAAAATAAAAATCAAAGTTGAGAGTTTAGTGGAGTGTATAAAAAAATTACTCTCTAAGTTTAAGAACACTCTTTATTATATAAAATATGCTCTTTATAAATAGAGAGCCTTTTCAAGATATTCTTAAAGCGGTAAAAATCACCATCTACAGAGTCGCATTCACTATCTTTTAATTCATGATATGTAAAAGGGTATTTATCATGTAATGTGTTTATCTTTCATTATTATTGTGAAAAAGTCATTACTTTCATTTTTGATATTTTTATCTTTATTTTCACACGTAAAAGGCCATTTTCATTTATTTTCTTAATTAAAAGTTATAAAAATGACAAATATATCTTTCTATTTAAATAAAACAAAAACAAAAACAAATAACTAATAGCAACCATAGTCTCAATTTTTAAAAAAAAAGTGCAAATGAGTCTCAAATAAATTATTTAAATAGCAATTAGTACATAATGTTCTTACATTTTACTATTATTGTGAAAAACGTCCATACATTTCATTTTTTGACATTTTCACCTTTAATCATTTCTAATTGGAACTATGATTATAATTAGTTCTTTTATTTTTCTTTTTTTGTTTAAATTGGAAGGTATATTCGTCATTCCATAGTTTTTTATCGAGAATTTGGATAAAAATGGATATAAAGGATAGTTTGAATAATCAAATATGTAATTAAATATGAAAATACCAAAAAATAAAAATAGGGACGTTTTCACAATAATAATGAAAGGTAATGACATTATGTACTTTTTTGCTAATTTCTTTGGGACTTGTTTGCACTTTATTAAAAGGTTTGGAACTATGACAAATTAGTTCTTTCTTTTTCTTTTTTGCATATTTAAATAAAAGGATATGTTCACTACTTCACAACTTTTAATTTAGAAAATTGATGAAAATGACTTTTTACTCAATAAAATGTGGAGATAATGGTGAAAATGTCAAAAAAATTAAAGGTAATGATGTTTTCCATAATAATAATGAAACTTAAGGATATTATATGCTAATTACCCTATGTAGAATAACTAACAAAGATAAACATGTCAAGAATCAATATTTAATCAAAATAAGTTTTAATTAAGTTTTAAAAATTAGTCATGATACCATGCCTTTTCAAGTACATATAGTGGGAAGGATTTATAAATTGTTTGAATTATAAATAAGTAAAAATGAGAGATGAATAAGTGAATAATAATTGTGAAGTTCTCGAAGTATGTTAATAAAAAATGGCTCGAGAATATTAAAAATATATTTTTGTGGAAAAATCATTTAATTCTTTTTGGATCTATATACAAGTAAAAAAAAAACTTAAAAAAGAACAAAGAAAACAAGAAAAGAAAATCTCTAATCAATAATAATATCAAATTAAATCATGCATGAATAAATTCAATAGCTTGCTTAGAAATATTTGTTCCAAACATTTTCTTAATTAATTTAGAATTCGTGATTCATTTTTCCCGTATGTTTATCGTACTAGAAAACATACACTAAACAAGTTTGTAACAAGCAAAATAAAGTTAAGAAATTTATTAGACTTATGTCCTCATGCATTATAAATGATATATTTGTGTGTTTTAGAACGTTAAAACAGACAATACTGATTTACGTTTTTATTTTTTTTCCTTAATAAAAGCACTAATATATTTCCATTTTTAGTCGGATGGATAAGAAAATAACTTTAAAATTTATATTTGATAAAATAAATGACTTAAAAAAGACAGTCTATTTTGTACATTTCATTTTATCCTTTTTGAAAAATTAAATTTAACAAAATAAATTACTTAAAAAGGAGTGAAAAGAAGAATCCTTTAATACTATTCCATGTCGACCTATAGATTATAAATAACTTAGACATGCCAAACGATGTATTTTCCACCCTATTCTACCGACCCTCGCCCACCCCGTATCTGAACTAAGCCAAGATTCTGTCACAGAGAAACGCGCAAACTCGCACACAAAAAGCCTTGTCATAGGACCTCCCAGAAGACAAAAAATGGTACAAAAAAAGTAATAGACGTTGCTTGCACGTTCTCTCTAAAAGTTCAACGGAAATTGTTTAGATACAAAAAGGTGGGGTTCTTCTTATTCTTATTCTGTTTCTGTTTCAAATTTTATTGTTCCTCATTCAATTCGTCTGTTTGCTAACGTATTTCGTTCACTTGGTTGTTAAACATAGTATAAATAAAGGAGAGGAGGGCCAGAAAAGGGAAAAGGTACGCGGATTGTTCAGTTTCGTTTGTGCCCTTATTAAATGCCTCATTGAAGTGCCTTTTTCAGTTTTTCTTCTGGTGTATAATAAGGGTTATGTATGTTTCTGTGTTTTGGGAAATGGGTTTTGTTCAGTGATTGCATTTTGATGAATTTTATGCGTTTTTAATTGATTGTACTGTACTTTTCTAAGCGTATTTTGGTGGGTTTTCTTGTTTGATATTCTCTGAATTTTATTTCGTTTGATTGTTCAAAATATTGTCTCTTTGCAGCTGGTGATTGGGAATACGTGAAAAAAAAAAGAAAAAAAAAAAAGAGATTAAGAGGTATGATTTTACTGTGATTTTGTTTGATGTTGCTCTTTTTCTGTCGTCAATTGTAGTTTTAGAAATATTTACTTATGCTTGATGGATTGACGAGGGGGTGAATCGTTAGAAAGGTAGATTGTTCAATGCTTATAATTTAGCGAAGTCAAATTCTTGCTCTTAAAATTCAAAGAAACATTCATGAAAATGGTTAAGAGTTTTCGGTTGAATTTCATTTAATCTGGAGATGGATTTTAGAAAATATTCAGCCTCACTGGGAAGGAAATAAAGATTCAAGCACTGCTTTCTTGGTTTTTTGACATAGACATTGACAACCATTTTTCAAAAACATATTTGGTTATATGTTAGTAATTATGTTTTTCTTTTACTTTTTCAAAATTGTACATGTGTTCTTCATAGTAGCATATGGCAGAAGATGAAACTGAAAGCATGCAGTTTTATGAATTGTAAAGAGATGAAATTATGGATTCCAGCTGCTTTTGCAATCATTTGAATTTTACAGATCTTTGAAAGTTCCAAATTGTTGAGTTAGTTGATTTCTCAAGGATTGAATCGTGTTTTCAAAATGTATCCTATCAAAGAAAGTTAAGTATGAATACTATAATCGTTTTCTCTGATACTGTAATTTATACGCTAAATATTTAAATATATGGTTTTCATTCTCGTCAATTTGTTGATTTTTCCATTTAGTCTATGTTATGGTGAAATAATCAACCTCTAGTGAGCTGGAAAATTAAATTTGAGGTATAGGGAGAAGGGAGAAGTGGTTTTCATTATCTGAAAAACCAAATCATGTACCTTCTGGAAATGGTGTTCTAATGAAGTGGTTCCTTCTTGTACTGAATTGACAGTTTAGCGTGCGTCGATATTGTTACTGATATTTTTTGTTCCTACGCAGGGCTTTGAAAGTTTCTGGCTTTCTACACTTTTATGGCTAAAGAAAATATTGATTTGGTTGTAACTCCAGAAACAAATGGATTCAACAGAGAGTATGCAGGAAAGGGTTCTTTCAGAAATACAGGTTCCTTAAATAATGGACACAGTACTAATTCTGATCGCCGCAGAGCATCCATGGGCTCATATCGTGCTGGAGATAATTCAACAAGGAAGTCTACTGGAAACCCGGATTCTTCAAATAATAGTCAACGTGCAGTTCCTCATTATCTGAGAGCTTCAACTGGTTCTTGCCATGATTTCTGCAAATATGGCAGAAAACATGCATTTGAAGAGAAGGCAAGGCACCCTCTTTTGAAGAGAATGACAAAACTTGTGTCAAACAAGCAGAATCCTATGGACGCAGCAGTTCCAGCTGAGATAAAGAAGGAAATGGTTATCAAGCGCAAGCCCTCCCCTGAATGCAAAATTCATTCTGCTGGTGTGAAATCCTATTCACCTGAGAGCAAGCCATTCTTGGAGGCCAAAATTCATTCCCCAAATAAGAAGACTTCCTCTGGTATTAAAACAAGCATACGAAAACTCAAACCTTCTCCTACTACCAAAGCCTCCTCACTAGATCCGCCTGAAATTATCAAGAGGGAAATTTCGTTGCCTCCTAAAAACGAGGAAGTTGGCCTGAAACGAGATACCTCAACTGACAATAAGATGCCAAGAGATGAGAAGAGAACAAATAATTTGTCCAAGAAACATTCTCCTTCTGCGCAGTTGAAACCTGTGAAGGTGAAACTATCATCCTCCCCATCTGACACTTTGGTTGGTATAAATGGGAAAGGCAGAAAAAGCAGTGATGTGAAAATTGGCAGAAAGATGGCGGCACCTAAACTATCCGAGGAAAAAAAAGGGGCACCTCCCACTGCCCCTTTGTCCCCCAAAATCTTCCTCTCTAGAACAATATCCTTGAAAGCAAGAAGAGCCAGAAGCGTAAAACCTGTGTCTATGCTGAAAGATCAAAATGGGATGCGCAAAACTGAGACTAAGATATCAAATGATGAGAAGGTCCCTGAGAAAACACTGCATGTCATCAAGACAGAAATTGGGAACAATTTATCTGAATTCATTCCAAATGACCCCGTTATTCCATCACTTCCATCCCCCTTGCCTCCCGAGTCGTTGTCCAATGAAAAGCCATCATCTCTGTCGTCTCAGGAGGAGGAGGAGGAGGAGGAGGAGGAAGATGAAGAGACAGAGTACACTGATAGTGAAGCAGATGATTTTGTCTCTGACTATGATACAACTGAAGAGATAGGGGGGATTGAAACAGTGGAAGATAATCACAAGAAGAATCGTAGAAAGAGTACAGTTGTTTCTGAAGATAAAGATGGTGCTCCGTCGAAGTTAAAGTTCAGGAGGGGAAAGATAGTTGACCTTCAATCTGATATCAGCAGTCCTAGAAGGCTCAGATTTAGGAGGGGAAGAGTATTGGGAGAAGACCAAAATGGCAAGGGTGATTTGAAAAGGAAGATCTTTAAAAAGCGGGGATCCAATGATGACAAAAATGGTACAGACCCTTCTTCAAAAAAAGTTGCTTTAAAGCATCAAGACGTGCAGGGGAAGAAAGATGCCCAAGGTTTGTTCAATAATGTCATTGAAGAAACGGCAAGCAAGCTTGTTGAAAGCAGGAAAAGTAAGGTTAAGGCCTTAGTTGGGGCTTTCGAAACAGTGATCTCTCTCCAAGAAAGTTAACCCTCTTCGCAGACTGTCACTTAAGTCAAAAAAATAAATATTTCTTGGTGTTAAGCTTCTAATATTGCAAATATACTAGTTGATTTCATCACAGCAGGTTATAAATAGATTTCCCAGCGATCAGGTTGGACTGCGGCTTGTCTACTAATGGTCTCTACATGGTTTCATACCCATTGCTTCAAGGGTATGTTCATTTTTCTCCTTTCTTGATTTTTAGACTAAAGGGTGAGGAAGAAACGTTTGTCTTGAGCTGTCTCATTTAACTGCCTATGTCCCAATGACTTAATACTCGATTTTGTTGGTTTCTTTGTCGATGTATTGTCCTTTTTATCGGTATAAACTGAGGACTGAATATGCACGATTGCTCGAATGAGTGATATCCCTGATGGATACTGTATTCGTACATAGAATTCATTGACTACTGTTTGGGATTCTTGGTTTATTTTCGCTTCAATAATTTCCCCTTTTTAAATTTATTTATTGTGCTCAATTTGTAAGATACTTTGAATGCTCATGGTTGTTCTCATCCTTAAAAATCAATTATAAACCTAATATTGAAATTGAAAAGAGAAAAAAAAAATTTGAGCAAAATAAGTACTATATTTTTCACCTAACAGATTATGCATTCACTTTGTTCAAAGTTACACACCTTTGGGTTGCCCAATTAAAAAATTTAACAGTTATTAAGCAATTGATTATTTCATCCCAATCTTTATAATTTGATTACATGTTTATAAAACAAGTTTTGAAGATTCTTTATTACTTGCAGTAAAAAGAAATAACATGCTTGATTCTTGTCCAGGTATTGATGAGTATATTCTATTGTC